GTTGAAGTAAACTGTGTCATGCTGTCTTCCGAAGCTGGCTGGCATCCACCCAGAAATGGCTTTTGTTGAGAGAGCTGCAGCAAAAGATATCGAGCTTGCGTGCAATTGCGCTTCCTTGTATGGCAGCCCACAACAACATCGGCAGCCCAAGAACAGGCAAAGAAAACGAGGGACCCTGCTTTGCAAGCAGAGTGGCTGTAGCAGAGATCTGCAGAGAGTGCAGACCATGCGCACAGCATGTCCTGAAGGAAGCGTGACCCCCCCCAGCTGTGAAAGTCAGTCAGACTTCAAACTTGGGGGTCCTCAACCCGACTCCCAGTCGGCATGCCATCCGAGAGAGGGCACTTCGATGGCGAGGGGAAAAGTGCTACGTTCCAAATGCGGAGGAGAGAGGTGATGGCAAGAAAAGCCAACATTCTGCTTGTGAGCCCAAAACCCCTAAACCCAACAGCCACGACGCATGAAGAGAGTTCCTTGAACCCCAGTTGCATCCCTTCCACACAAACTGCCTTTGACCGTGAAGAGGCCCCCCTGCTCCTCAGCCGAAAGAAGCTCCAATTGCTCAAGAAGGCGATGCACCAACGCCTCTGCAGACTCTGGGCCGAAGGACTACTACGGCTATTACATCTTTGGTCTGTTGGTGTTCGTGGGTTGGGGGTTTTTAATGGCCTTCTCCTTGGGCCGGTTTATGGGCTCTTGGGGTTTTTGAGCTTGGGAGCCGGAAACGTTCCCACGTCTTCTAGGCTCAGAGCTGGAAGAACCACGAAACAACGTCCCAGTCCTTGCCATCATAGCCCAAAGCCGCAACGACAAAGCCGACAAGCTTGAAGCTTTAAGTACCGGTGATTGGACAGGCAGGCGTGAGTTGCAGCCTCAGCCTGCTCTCCATCGCATCCTACAGTATCGGGAGGCTACCAGGATTTGCAAGACTGCTGTAAGACAGCATTTGCTACGAAGAGCTTGCCCTGGAACACCACAAGGCTAAAACAAGGCTAAATTTTAAGAGGGTGTTGGGGCTTTGGCGGAACTTTGGCGGCTGTGGGATAAAGGATGGCAGATCTCTGATCGACAAACCAGAGCAACCCACCGATCATCAATCATCCGCCCCATAACACTCTCGACCAAAGCCGTAACCGCAATCCACATTTTCAGGGCCTCAAGATTTAGAACAGGGCATTGCCTGTACTTCATATCCCAAGCACTCCAAGCACCCCTTTTTTTCCGAGGCGCGGGGACCAACTTCGCGACGAAACCCGGGATGGCAGGGCCGGGGCCACTCCTGGAAGCTGCAGCCAGGGCTCAAGACATGGGGACTTCTTCAGATGGTGGATTTTGCGGGTTTTTTGGGAGTCCTCAGGATTTGGGGTAAAGGTTTGTGTAGGACTTTGTTTCCCGGCTAGAGCAGGGTTGTTGAGTTTTGGCTTTCTGAAGAACCAAGCTTTAGGAAACAAAGGGCTCCTTGCCCTGTGAGTGTTGGAAAATCCGAAGCTCCAAGCCAGGCAGCCTGAAGCATCCGACCCTAGGAATAACACCAAGAGCCAACTACCGCAACGAGACATTTCATTTCCGACAAACAGCCAATCCAAGCTCAGAGATATGTCACATAGCCGCAACATCTCCGACTATGTAAACCTCACCTCCGCCACAGTTGTCTCTTCCGTAGGGCAACAAACCTTATGTTTCTGATGCCAATTGTCGCAACCTGCAACTCCAGCAACAATAAACCACGTCCAAATGATTCAGCCCTCAAAGGTTCGTTGTGTAGTCCTAGACATGCTTGGCATTGGCTGGGCTTGGCTGTGCCAAATACAAAACAGGGAGCACTACCTAGGACAAGTAGTACCAGCCCTGCAGAGGTGAGTTGCCGTCGTCCTGTGCATTGGTGCTTTTCATCATATGATATATAATATAATATAATACAATATAATATAATATATTATATTATAATATACTATAATATAATACTGGCTGCGCCGACCTCGTGGAGTTTCTCCGCTCTCGGCGTACGAATTGGCCCAAGACCTGGCAGAGCCTCGCAGCCGGTCGCAACGGGCTTCAGCTTCCCAGGTCTTTCAAAGGAGGCTCATACGACCACCAGTATTGTTTAGACTTGAACTGCTATGATTTTTGATGAACAGAACCTTGTTTTACCTGAAGAACACCTGCCAGAAGTGTTGCGGTGGTATTGCCATGCTTGCGGCTTACTTTGGAACCGCAGCTGAATTTGCGGTCATTGCTTTATCCTGTCAGCCTCTATCGAACACATGATTTTACATCGAAAATATGTCGGATCCAGAGATAGAGTTGCCAGTGCCTATTTTCGCGAATCAATCTTGATTCAAGGTGGGCTAGGCAACCATTAAGTATCCAGTTGTTCCGATAATCGGAGATCGAGTCTCGAGTCAATTGGGAGTTTTGCAGGGACCTGAAATTTCAGATTTCTTCAGAAGCCAGTGCAGAAAGCTTGACGGCCCAAACGCTAAGGATGACCCCTACTATCTGTACTATGCATTTCGTCTTATCAACTATATACTCGCATCTAAAGTAGTATAATATAATATAACATAACATGATATATAATATGATATATAATATGATATACCATATATCATATAATATATAATATACAAAATATAATGTATAATATAAAGTATATAATATATAATAGATAATCGATAACAGATAATAGATAATATATAATAGATAACAGATATAAATATGTAATATATAATGTTTAATATATTTTATTTCATATATAATATAATATATTATATTATATATTTTGTAATAAATAATGTAATATTCAATACAGTATTATATAGTAAAGTATAATGCTAGTTATTTTAATATATAGAATATAATATAGAAAATGTAAATATACAATATATAAGAATCCTAAATCAGGGACCTCTCAAGTTGAGAGTATCATAAAGAAGTGCAGAACGCCTGACGACCCAAACGCTAAGGACGCCCCCTACCATCCGTACTATACATCTTCGTCATACCAATTATGTATATATACACATTATAATATATAAATATAAATGAACAAATAAATACATAATAAATAAATAAAAAAAATATCCAAGCCTGCCTGGTGCAATCTGCGGGCCGCAGCAATGCCAGGGCTTGCGCTGCTCGGGGCGAGACGGGGCCCTGGGTTTGGGTCTTAACATTGCGGTGCGAGCTACGGTTTAAGGTTTCAATCTTTTCTTGCAGATTATCGGCTTCGGAATCTAGAATACTTGGGTGCGGGTGCACTGACATGGTGGTAAGCCGGAAACAACACTCAATGTCCAGACATCTACGAACATGTAACTTACTCCTGGATGCTTTTGCACTTTGTGAATCTGGTGCGGCATAACCAAGAGGAGTTCTACCCCAAGTAGCTCTCAGCCTCGAAATCTCCCTGAACCCCAAACCATCCTGCGACTTGAACTCGGCTGAGCTGCTCCGGCGGAGAGCTCCGTCAGTAGCAGCTTCTCGAAGCCTTCGCTATCCGCTTTTTCGGGTTTCAACTTCGCTGAAGCGTTTTCAGAGGTTCCGTTTACTGTTTGGGCTCAGAGGTTTCGGGATTAGGCTTCGAGTTTAGGGTTCAGAGGGTTTGCGGTTTTTTGCAAGCTGCCTATGGGCACTTTGCGCTGGCTCTTACAAGCAAGCTGAGCAGTGTTCGTGCTTGGATGTTTCTGCCTCAGTGCTTCATTTACTTGATGGGGCCTCAGCAATTGCTTAGCCATAAAATACAAATGCCACATGGATCCCCTTCTCCTTAAGAGCGGGGCTTTTCAGTTCCCTGAAAGAAAGGAAGGCCCCAGGAAAGAGCCGGGGTGATAGCTTGGAAAAGAATTTGCTTTGGATTCAGGGGGTTTGAGGTTGGGGGGTTAGGGTTCAGCGTGCAGGAAGTGTAAGGGGTTTGGGGTCAGCAGTTTGGGGTGTAGGGTTTGGGTGTGGGGTTTTATGTAAGGATGCAAGGTTTCTGGTTCGCCTATATGGCTTTTACAGAGTCCGTGTCTGCTATTTGAGCTTTATGCTGCATCGGGGTGGTTGAGTACTCAAAACCGGTATGTGGGAGCAACACTTCAAGTTTTAATACAAGGCCACAAGGCGACACGACCTGCGCCCCAAATCCTATACCCTAAAACCTATAGAGCCTTAATCCTCGACCCGAACATTGAAGGCGTGGAGATGCGATTCAGCTATGAACACAAGCATCGAATGACAAACTACGCTTCCCTCATGAGGCCTCGGGAGAACGGCATGGGAAAATACCTTTTTTTGAGTAATACTGCTTTCACCGTGGTCCGGATGATACTCGGAGCGTGCGTATCCCAGTATCTCCGCTGTACATCTCAGATGACCTGACCTCTGCAAGCTTTGCTGTGCTCGGAGCAGAGGCGGGCTTCTGCAAAAGGATAATGAAAGATACCGACATGGCGCTTTCTCGGGTTGCTGAAGTGTTCTCCATCTGTGCGAACACAAGTCCAGTAGTTGATCATCATTTTGATCTTCTCTTGTCTGTTGGCTGCTGCAACCCGTAGATGAATCCGAACAAGTTGGTCTCGCAGGACCCGGCGTGCTGACGGTGGCCGTATGGCACATTTTGAGGTTGCTCTTCTGTCAATTGCTCAGCTTGGAGTGGTTGCTACAGCTACAGAGAAGGAACATTTTTTCAATCTCTACGTACCTGTAAGTCCCTATGACAATACATACCGTAACCAGGAACAATTTCAATCAACGGAGCTTCAGAGAATGAGATACCCTACCATGTATCGCAAAACCTGGTTTCAAGAACGCCACCCGTGAGACGCCACGGTCGGTGATGCCAGAGTTCAAGCTCCGGCATTGGCAGCTACTGAGAGCACGAGCTCCTCCCTGGCGGTCTTGAGGATCACCTTACGGTCTGTCACGCTGTGTGACGGGTGTTGAAGGCTTTGGGCATCTAGATCCGTGCTGAGAGGTTTGAGGCTTTCGGGTTCGGCTTTGCTTTAGGCGTTCAGTGCTCATGCCGGGCTCCAGCAGGTCAAGAAGGTGCGACTGACTAAGCAAAACGACCTGCCCAGAGGATTGAAGTCTCTGCCCTTACCTTCGTTGGATATTCCAGAAAACAAACTTTCAAACGTATACTGCTTGGGCCCCGAAGTCACGTCCACCGCGCGAGGGACTCCACCGCAGACTTTGAGCTTTGAAGCCTGGGCTTCCGCGGCTCCTTCGTCGAGAGCTGGACTGAGGTCTCTTCTTTTCTTTTAGACTTTTTAACGTGACGGTCTAGGCTAACGCGGCCTAGCGGGTTTCGGGTTACAAAATTGGGGGCTGTAGGTGCAGGTAATTTAAGGCTTCAGGGCTTTGGGGCGAATGTACCTGGATATCTCAGAAGTGTCTTACGAGAGATCGCTGACTAAGCACAACGGACAGCCTTGTCCAGTTAAAGTCCCACACAAGAATCCCGCCAAGGCTCGCTGATATGCCGGATTTTGCAAGACCTCTCGGAGAGATCTGCGGACATCTTCGCGGTAGTCTGCCGCGGCTTTCGCTGCCTCGTCCTCCAGGAACAAAAAAGCACTTTTCTGAGCCTGGCCCGAGCTTGCCGAGCCTGTCTGTGCTCTCCACCGCTGTTGTAGTAAGGACTTTCTGTGGGCTTCTCTATCTTGCAAGAGCCTCAAAAATTCGGTGTTTGACGAGACAGAACAAGGAGTTGCATTGGGAGTGTTTGGGGAGGGCTTCCAGTGCTGGGCTCCGGATCAAACTTCGGCGACAGTGAAACGAAGCTGCAAACGCTGGGCTCGAAGGCGAAAACTCCTCAAGCCCACCAATCTTCACCCGAAGCGGTTCAGGAGCTCAGACTTCCTGGGTCGCGATGGAAGGCCGATCCACTTTCAAGCCGACACCAAGAACCACGGCTTTTTCCGCATTCACCACCTGGGAAACGGTCAAACTCCACGCTTGGGGTTTAGGATGGTTTCGGGTTTAGGTCTTGGGTATTATAGGGCCTTTCGGATCTCGAAAGGAAGGGCTTGTGTTTGCCCCATGAGGCTTGCTGACAAGGATTTTAACTGTTGCTCCTTCTTCTCCGTCGAAATCCACATCTCAACCCTAAACCTCGGTGCTCAATCGGACTACGAAGTACTCCACCGCACATCAGCAAGCTAATAGCATCACTGGCCCTGAACCATCGGCCTGATCTCCGAAACCGGGACAAACCAGCACCGGCGCGCCGGATGCCAGAGCTTCGGTGAAGCCTCGGTTCTCTTACCAAAGCTCTCCAATCAACATCCGGAACTGAAGCTTCAACGTTCCAAAAGGAACAACCCTGTAGAGTTCGTACTACCTACTAGTTCAAACACAACAACTTGGAAAGCCTTCAGATGCCAAGTGAAGGGACTGTTCTGCCCACCGTGGGTCACGAAGACATCGACACCAGCTCTCAGCAGGTCGACCTGTCTAAAGGAGGGCGCACACACAGCACCACTCGGGACCTCGATGTCCCCAAGCGGGTCTGCTTGGAGGCCCAGGGCCGTGATAACCAAGAAGTCTTCACCACAGGCATCGAAGGTGGCCGACCAAACCGCACGGCAAAGATCTCGACCGGTGATGCTTCGGCCGTTGCAGTCTGCATCCCAACCCGCAACTTTGTCGCCACCGGTGATCACCGTGCCCATGCTGACGAGCACAATCCGCTTTCCTGCTTTGCGCGCCTCGCGCATCTGCTGGATCAAGGGGTTTGCATCCAAGGCTCCCGGCACGGAAGGCATCAGCAGGGGTCCCACAAAGACAAACCTGGTGCCGTCTCTTTCGTAAGCCATGGCAAGAGGTTCCGTCACGGGATCCTGGGGATGATCTGAAGCCCAAGCATAAATCCAGGGTTCTGCCTTCCCTCTAGAAGGACACGCGCACCAAACCAGCCCGACAAAAGCTACACCCTGACTTCAGCTTTCCTTTCCTGGAGCTCTTCAGAGGTCGTCACCAGCACGGTGTTGCGGCAAGTGTCCAGGTAGCCGTCCGGCAGAAGGTGAGTCTTTTTCAGGGCCAGGTTGTACCTGCAACGTAGAAAACTTGAAACTGTAAGGGCCTCTCGTGTCCGGGAGTTTCGGGTCAAGGATGTGGGGTCTTGCGCTTGCCGCTGAGGGAGAGCATGGCTGAATTGTAGCCTTCTGGCAACTTCCCCCTGCAGTTCAGGGTTTTGGGATTTTCAGGCGGTGGCCCTTTGCCAGGGCCGTTTGGGGATCCCGGGCATTCGGAGCTTAGGGCCTAAATAAAGCTTAGGGGCTGCTCTGAAGGTACGGGCCTTTTGAGCACACCAGATCAAGACTGTCCCTGCAAAGCGGCGGCTTTGATTTAGAGCACACAACCGGAGCTGCAGCCCGGCTGCATGCTGCAACAAAGAGCGATAGGCAAACCCTGTTGCTTTAGCACCGTAGCAGCGCAGGAAGCCACTGAAGAAACAACCACCTAAACGAGACCACATATTGGAGCCAGAGGTACTTGCTGTAGATGCGCTTTGTGGCGGCCGTGTGAGGGGAAAACTGCTTCACCTCTTTCCCGGCCTCCTCACAACCAACCGCATCAGATACATGCAGGAGAACTAAACGAGAACTCAACAGAAGAAGTACCAGGTGTGGGTTCTTTGTTTCTTGTACAAGTGCTTGTGCAAATTCAATATGTACATGTATATGTATATGTTAATATATATATATATATATGTATATATATATATATGTACTATGTACACATACGCTGACACACACACACACGTCCATACATACCCTGATGCCCTATGTGTAGGAGTAGCGCGGATGCAAATACCCATCCACCCATATGCACACACACTCGCGCGCACTCTCTCGCTATGGAAACGAATAGGCAACGACAATTCAACCAACAAATAAGCGCATAAATAGCTACAGACACACACACATATATATATATACACACACATACACATACACACATACTATGTCTATACATGTGTTCATGTTTACCGTTTCGGGCTTAGGAGGAGTCAAAGGTCCCCTATAGCCTCTCCTCCAAGGTCATCTCCCCCAAGAGCGCAGGGCCGTGGCAACGCATCGCGCCCGGCCCCGCCAAGGTGAGAAGCCCCACACATGGAATACCCAAGACCTGGCGATGCATCAGCGGTTTCGCGATGGATTAGTGGTTTCGGGTTCAGAGTCTAACGTCTCCCTCCACGGTTGGGAAGCGATTGTTCAAACTTCAGGGCTTCAGAACAGAAAAAGCTCGAACAACTTCAGGCGATGACTCTGAAGCCTGTCTCCCGAAATCCGAAAGGGCCTTAGGACCTTAAAGTCTTAAAGGCCGTCCGAACCCGTGGAGTCTTGGGTACTCCACCACCTCGGCCGCCAAGGGCGCCGCTCTGCTGGTGATGAGAGGGTCATAAACAAGAACGTCCGGCTTCCTTGGGCTTTGGTTGCTTGCAAATGTGTACTGCCCATCCTATTATATGTTTTACTTGTCCTGGCTACCGTTCTCGCTATTTCAGTTGTAGTCGTGTCTGCGGCAGTGGGCCGGGGTGCGCGAGCGTTGGCGGGTGGGGTCGTCGTCGGCGTGGCAGTAGAAGTCAAAATCGTTATGTACAATCGCCATCGCAGTTTAGAGCTGGCTGTGGCAGCACTAGTGGCATTCGCAGAAGTGGTTGTTGTTGAAATCGTCATCGCTGTCGGCAGCTACATTACAACAGCTGCAGCAGCAGTTGCAGCAAAGGGACTAGTCGTGGCACGAGCAGACGGACGGAGCCGCGGTGTCTACAGTATCGAACCCAAAACACTCAGCCAATTAATTCTTCAAGCGACTAAACCGGAAAGGCTGAAACCCTCAACACGAAAGCCCAGCACCTAGCCCAGTAGCAGCTTCTGCAAGAATCGCATTGTGCCCGGCAGCTCCAACTCCAGACTCACGTTCATGCACCTCGATGTCTCTATCGCCATGACGGACGGGAAGAGTTAGGACAGGCATGAACAAGAGCAAGTTCCGAAGTAGGGATGCCATTGAAACGGATTGAATGCTTTCTTGTAAATGGTTCTCACCCCATTTCTCCAGTTGGGCTTGCAAAAACATGGGATTGGAGAGTCTAGGGCGCCTAGGCAGTGGAGGATTGCAATGTAGGCGATGTACTGCAAACCACCCGGCAACAGTAGCCTACAACAACTGCACATCAACACAGACTCAGCATCCAGAAAGTTGCACCGCATCTGCTTGTCGGATGCAAACCCTGAGCCCCGAATGGCCGCAAGATCCCACAATCTCTCAAACAATCATAAAGTCCTAAAGCTTGGAGGTCATTTTCAGCACCAGACTCTACAGTGCTACCGCCCTCATTTTAAAAGCAAAAGAAGGCACCGAAGGAACGAAGAAGCATAGAAAGGATCCCATGTATTCCCATATTCCCATATCTCGGGTAGAGAAGCTGAAACCCGAAAACCGGGGCACACTCTTGGTGTGCGAATGTGTGCTGAAGGCAAAACAAGCGGTCACCGGAAATTCAGGAAACTTTAAGGCTTCTTTACTCTAGAGTTGTTTGGAGCCGGGAGCAAGCGGGACTAGGAAGAATCTTCAAAAAGGAGGCTGGGGTGGAGAAGCCGGAAGTCGCTAACAAAGTCTAGACCCGGAAAATTGCCCCTCAGCCTTAAGACACCTAAGCTCTAAGCTCCTGGCTTCAGAATGTTCAAGAAGGACATCTCGAGGCCAAGCTCTGCCTGGGTCCCCGGCGTGGCACGAAAACAGGTGCATCAGACGGTCGAGCCCCAATACCAGAAGGGCTCCATGACACACGCCTTCTGGATTGTGTTGTGTTTTTTGTCTGGAATGAAGCTACATTGATATTCTCTGACATATCCGAGCCCAGCGTCCATAATGCTGTAGACAGCCAACTTGCCCGAGTCGCGCCCGGCGTAGAGCTCAGTTTGAACAGCCACAGTGTTGTGGAAGATGGCCCCAACCTCCTCGACTTTTTTCTGGGCCATCTCCAAGCACAAGAAATGCACCTCAAAGCTGGGGCTCTCCTTCTGTGGCTCTCTAAACCTCCAAGGCTTCAGGATATTCTTGTGTGAGAGAAGGCTTTGAACGAATCCTGGAGCAAAGCAGTCGCACGGAATGCCAAGACAACAACCTCTAAATCAGAAACGAGCAAAACCCCCTTAGTCCCTTCAAACTCTAAAACCTTTGGAACGCCGGCCTCGTGACCCAAGTCGACCAAGGCCTTGACGACAGGAAGAGTCGGATTCAGGTGGCCCACGTGCTCGGAGCAGGAGACGAGGCATCGAACCATCGCTTCGGAAGGTTGGATAAAGAGATGCGAGCTGCCAAAAAAGGAGGACACGCTAGTTTGAACCTCAACAGCTCGCAAAGCAACGACAGCATCACCGCCTTCTAGACAGGTCTAGTCTAGTAGTGAGAGTGGCAACTGTTGCGAACAGGACCGACAGAAGCGACTCCACACTCCCTCACAACATCAGGATAACAGCATCTCCCTCACCCGAATGAGAGTTTGCATACTGGCAGAAGGGGCACCCACTGCAAGGAACCGAGGAAAGGAGCCATCGTTCGCCCTCGATCCCCATTGTAAGCACTCAGCACCTCGACTGGCAGCATGCAGAGGCCCTGCAGTACGCCGCCGAAATTCATGAAGTGGGATTCAGCAGCAAGTCCATACGGCTCTCTAGACCCCTGAACCCTCAACAGCAATATCACTATGGCGAGGGGCTGCGCCCGCCGGACAGGTCATAGCGCTGCATGGAGCGCCTGGAAGCGAATGCAGGCGTGATCTCTTTGGAAGGGTTTCTGGCTTTGGCGGTTGGGTGCGTAGCTCCCGGTGCCCGCCATTGTGGCAAAAACAACATGACTTAGCGCTTGAAGGGCCTAGATCTCTCGGGCTCTACATTCAGAAGCCCCGTTTAAGATCGCAAACCCCCGCAAAGCAAGATATGAATCCTACACCCATTGCAGAAAACCCTCTGTGCCTGTGCAGCATGCTGCCGAGGCTTTGCTCGGCTTCCTCAGCTTTCCACTCATTATTTTTCAAGCTGTGCCCACAAAAAACGGGCACCTTATCTATGGGCGTTTCAGATACATAGGGTCTCTCATTTTGGGGGTGTCTACAGAAGAGGCTCCGTTGTTTGCTGAAGCTCCAAGACAGTCCTTCGGGTTTGGGAGGTTGCCAAGACAATGCTGCCGTGGACAAGACAAGAAGCATAGTAGCAGCTGCACACATCCGTCAATGCGCCAAAACCCATTACATGCCAACCCAACCAAAAGGATGTCAATCTGCGAATGCGGTGTATCGCTTGCTTTTCTTAAGTCTTTAAGCCGGCATGAACCAATTATACCCCACTCGTGCCAGACCTCAAGGGTGAGACGAAAAGGCCTGAAAGCCCACGACACGCACTCTCAGGGTCAGCTAGGGTCAGTGTCGCCTTCTTGTCATGTCACTGAACCCAAGACTGAAGGTCAAAACAGCATGATCGTGAATAGCTGCTACTTGCTGCTGGTCCGACGTTCTTCTGATTGCACAACCTGCAGCCATAAACCACTGGACCTTGAAGGATTTCTGTAATTCAATGCTCTGTCGGATCTATCGGCCCCTAAACTCGGGCTCAGGCGGGATCTTGCAGAGGTTTGGTAGTGGACTCGCCGTCCACGTCTTGCAGGAAAGACCTCGGGAAAACCGCGCATCTGTCGAATTGGTCACAGACTTTGGATGTCACTTGGCCGGGCAGCTTAGACTCAAAAAGCTTGGGGTCTTGAGCCGTAGGAAAAGGATACCGCACTCCGCTTTTGGAAGCAGAAAGGACTGTTGTGTCGTGTATCATGCAATAGTTTTTCAAGGATGCAGAGTAGTGATAGCAGCCACAACCTCTTTGGAAGACAGTCACCCGCAGCCCCCACAGACAAAATCAGCACCCAACTTGATTTTGGGCGCGCCGAACTCTCAGCCTTTCAAGATTTGCCGAGCGTCCTGGAACCTCAATCACAGTTTAGAGCCAGGCCTTGGGGTCCAGGGTCCTGAAACCTCAACCCAAACTTTCTAGCCAACAAACACCATAAGCATGCGCCTGACATGGTAGCAGCAGTGGTGGTGGTGCTGGAGGTGGTTGTAGTGGTGGTGGTGGTGGTGGTGGCGGTGGTGGTGGTGGTGGTGGTGCGTTAAATGTCGTTGTATATAAACGGTGTTATCGTCGTTGTTGTCGTTGTCGCTGTTGGTGGTGTGATGTTCTTGTTAGTGCT